CTTCCAGTGAATATTCAGGACTGATTTCCTTTAGGAAGTGGACAAGAGATCAGCTAAAATTTTAACAAATTGCTAAAGATCCACTGGGGGCTAAGGTGTCAGTTTGTAATAATAGCTGGGTGTCCAAGACACAGGGGAGGGACTTCCCAGTGGCTAAGACTCCATGCTCCTAATGCAGGGGGCCCAGGTTCAATCCTTGGTCAGGGAACTAGACCCCACATGCTGCAATTAAAAATTTCACAGCCTGCAGTTAAGAGTTCAAATGCTGCAACTAAAGATTCTGTGTACTGCAACTAAGACCTGGCACAGCCAAAAAATAAAAATTAAAAAATAAAAAGACATGAGGGTAACTTGCACTTATGAGCAAGCTCCTCCTTAGGAGGAGGGCTTCCACTGGATTCTATCAGAGTTTGAGGAACAAGACGTCCCCTTGCAGTGCAGGTGAGAATGAGGTGATCTCTGACTGCCAAGGGGTAGAGACAAAGCCCTGCCTATTTCCTAGGTCATTTTTCTCTTTACAAAGCAAAAGCTTTATGCCACTTGAGGAGGAAACAACAGATCTTCATGTCCAGAGACACCAGGCAGAGATCCTCCATTCTGGGGAAGAAGCAGAAGCAAAACCAAACTGGCCCTGGGAAGGGACAGGAATCCCCTGGGCCCATAGGATATATTCAAAAATAACTGCAATACACAGAAGGGTGGGAGGGGAAAAAAATCTCAACCCATAGAGGAGGAACATAAAACATTCTTTGGAGACTTCCTTGGTGATTTAGTGGCTAAAATTTGGGATTCCCAATGCAAGGAGCTTGCATTCAATCCCTGATTAGGGATCTGGATCCCACATGACACTACTAGGAGTTTGCATGCCACAACAAAGATCGAAGATTCCACATGCCACAACTGGGATCCTGCACAGCCAAATAAAGAAAGAAAGAAATATTTTAAAAATAAAAACTCCTTGGACCTAAGATCTAACTTCTATCACAAGAAGAGGTTTGATCCCACTTGGGCAGAGGCAGCAAACTTCTGCTTAGACCAACCACAAATGTGAAACTGACTCTGCCTAAGACAGACCAGAAAAGTATAACATAAACAGCCCTGCCCCACTCCAAGTCCACCACTGAATAACAAGAAATTGCTGTTTACCACTGGAGGAAGGATAAGTGTATGGGTAGAAAGCCCATCTGCAATACAGGCACACAGGACTCCTGATATCTGATGGGTAACAGGAACACTAATAAAAACTCTCTGGTATGCAAGGGCCCACCCAATGTGGGTCAAAGAGGCAAAAACTGGACTTGAACTCAAGAGTCTGGGAATACTATAGATGTTAGACTATATTCTCAAGGCCTTAGCAGCTCAGTTCTAGAGGAATTTGAAAGCAATGATGCACTGAAAGTAACAATAGCAACAACAAGACTCAAATCCAGCTCAAGCTGCAATTAGCTCTCACATTAATGGCCTGACAACAAAGAATACCCACTTCCACGCATAAATATTATTTCAGTCTTCACTCTTCCATACATGGAGCCTGGCGTTCAATCAAAGATTTTGAAACACATACATAAAAAAACAAAAACAAAAAAGGCCCATGAGAAAGGACAAAGAAATCAACAGAAACAAACTCAAACATGACCCAAATGTTGGAAGAATCAATCAGTAATTTTAAAATAACTATGACTAATATGTTAAAGTATCCAGTTGGAAAAGGTAGACAAAATACATAAACAGGTAATTTCAGCAGATACATGGAAACAGTTAAACGAAAATCAAATGAAAGTGCTAAAGACAAAAAAAAAAATTTATATATCAGAGAGGATAAATTTGTTCACTAGACATAAAACAGTTGAGGAAAGAAACTGTACACTTGAAAGTAACTCAAGAGAAATTATTCTCATTAAACCACAAGGAGAAAAAAAATTAAAAAAAAAAAAAAACAGAATCAAGTACAAAAGGCCTCTAATATAATACCAAATAGTCTAACATAGTGTAAGTTGGACTTCTCAGAAAGAGATGAGAACAAGAGTCAGAAGAAACATTTGAAGAAACACTAGCCAAACTGCTCAAAATCAAGAATAAAGAAAAACAGCCACTNTGTAAAAGCTATGGTGTATTAACTCTACCCTTACTTAGGAGATGAGGTTTTCCAAATATCAAATAGGTAAGGAAATAAGATTGGCTCTTCAAACATGAAAATATATGCGTCAAAATGAGTGATGGCCTTCAAAATAATAACTTCTACCATAGTAAGCTGTACTCTGTAATTGACTTGTCAGTTACACAAAAAAATGACTCACATTATTTACTTCACTTCTTGTTTGTGAACAAAAATAAGATGATCCAGTGGGATCTTAGTTCCCAGACCAGGGATTGAACCTGCATCTCTGGCATTGAAAGGTGGGTTCCTAACCACTGTACCACCAGAGCAGTCCCACCTCCTTATATTTTGAACCCTTGTGCCCTCACTTGCCTCACTGATTCCCTGCTCCTGACTCTGGGTTAGTACTTCTTCTAGCAGTGTCCAGGTTTCTGTGACAGACTCTGTCATCCAGATACTCTCTGCACAGACCATTTCCAACTGGTGCTACTGAAAAATTTGGCTGATATACCACATTCACTTAAAACATGCGATGAATTAGTCCAGACAGAGCAGAGAGAAGTGTCTGATAAGGTGACAAAGCTCATTATTTTCAGCAGATATCTGTTACCTCCCAGGAAGCACTGACCCTCGAGGCAGTGGCCTTGTGTGACTATGGAAACTCTTACAAAACTCTGCTTTGTGGACTTGGGTGGGTTGGGAGCGGGGAGTCTCCTTTAATATCTTCCAAGAAGCAAACCTTGATTCTTTGAAGATAAATTTGATTTTTGAAAAGAGTTAAAATTCAATTACTTCCAAGCCTGGGAAGGTGCACTGGATCATCTTATTTTTGTTCACAAACAAGAAGTGAAGTAAATAATGTGAGTCATTTTTTTGTGTAACTGACAAGTCAATTACAGAGTACAGCTTACTATGGTAGAAGTTATTATTTTGAAGGCCATCACTCATTTTGACGCATATATTTTCATGTTTGAAGAGCCAATCTTATTTCCTTACCTATTTGATATTTGGAAAACCTCATCTCCTAAGTAAGGGTAGAGTTAATACACCATAGCTTTTACATAGAAAATGATACAATTCTTATTTAACCATCCAATAGTAAGTTTTATTAAATAAATTTAGTAGCTTAATAGTAAATGGTTTTTGTCTTTTTTAAAAAGATTGTTTTCAACACGGATCATTTTTCTAAGGGCTTTATTGAACATGTTACAATATTGCTTCTATTTTTTGTTTTTTTTTCTTTTTTTTTTTGTTTTGGTGACAAGGCATGTGGGGATCATAGCTCCCTGACCAGGGATTGAACCTGTACCCCTGCATTGGAAAGTGAAGTCTTAACCACTGAACCACCAGGGAAGTCCCAATAAAAAGTTTAAGTGGTTTATTTAAAAGTACTTCAGATTTCCCACTATGCATTGACCTTACACAGCAAAGAAAATAATTTACTGAAATTTTAAAAATTTCAACAATAATCCCAATTTGGAATTTGTTTTGGCCCACTGCTCTAGATATATGCTTAGTGGCTCAGGCATGGCTGCCAAGATAAACTCTAAACTGCATTTTACAGTAACAGCTCACAGCTGTAAGCCTGCCTGGGTTAGTGACAAGCTGGCTCTTATTACAACATTGATGTTAGATGTTAGTGCTGTATAAAAAACTGTAACACCAGGTGCCCTGCCAATCACAGTTGGAAAAGTCAAACATCATCCCCTCATAACTGGTACTTCATAGCCCTTGCTGATGGGTTGCAGTAAATATTTGGAAATCTGCCTGAGGTTACACACAGCCTGTTGATATTAACAAGGGTCAAGGAGGTTAACTGTGTTCCAAGCTTTGAAAATTCTCCACTGTATTTTTAATCATAAGCCCCTTTTCATCAATAACCCATTCATTACATTAAAACTCAACACTCACTTTATGAAACAACGGAGTCTATATCCACTTCTAACTTCCAGCTACCGAGTAAATGCATACTTCTGTGTATTTTCATAAAAGATAAGTCTTTCGAACACTAGAAACAGCTAGCCCACCTACTCTCCAACTCAAAATTTTCTCTTTCCCAAGATAAACACTGCTGTTTCCCTCACTGTTCATCATATGAAATGCTTTTGCAATTCTCTATCTTGGTTGAAGCCCTATGTGTATGCTCTAATAGTCTACATATGACTTCACAGAAACAGAGAGATTATGTAGGTTCTTTTCATGATGCAGGTAAAACCATGAAATATATTTCATTTATCTTCAGGGCATGCAGCTGGAAAAATGATTCCAGATCTCTTATGTAAAGATGTTTCAGTAAGTGAAAGATCATCTTTATGCTTGCTCCTCCACCACACTGACCCCAGGAAAAGTAAAAATCCCACTGAGTGTTTAGACAAACTGTTAACATAAACCAAAATAATCCATCAGGAGTTTATTTTAATCTATGTTTCAACATAAGTATTTCTGTATCTATTTGTCTTCTGGAATTTTACACTCCTAAAGAGAATGGCTAATTTCCAAATAAAATCCTGGGCAGTACCATAGCAAATAACAAATAAGAAATAAATGCTTCACACTTCTTTTGATGGCATTAAGTTTTGATCCTGAAAGAAACCCAACAACTTTTCAAATGTGTTCTTCTGTAGGCAATCACAATTTTCATTTGCTTTTCAAAGTCATACTATCAAATATTATCTGAATAATTTAGACAAGTTGCAAAGTTCTTTGAAATTTTCCAATAGGAAGACAAACTTTTCTTTTACCTTCTTCTGATCTATTGGGAATTGACTTTCATGAAGATTAATTACCATCCAATAAACAATATTCTAAAGTGTGATAATAATTCTGAGAATCATTGCTCCATAAACACTGCAAATTCCAATATGAAATGTCAAAGTATCTGAAGATGTCTCAAAATAAACTCACTGTGTACAGAATTTTAAAATTTATTTAAAAACTTTTTAATTCTCAGAAAATTTTAAAAACTGACTTAAAACCTCTTCATTAGGATGTAGTTATATAATAACTCAATAAACTATTCTGCTGCCTATGACAATAACATCACTGAGAATTGATATCTAGATTCGTTCTCTGGGATATTTTGCCAACAAAGCTAATGTATCTAGTCTGATTCACTTAGGTTCTTGTCTGGTGCCTCTGGCTTCCCCAAAACTCACTTAAGTATTAGCCAACTAGCATTAGGCATTCTGTGCAGGGCCAAGGAACAGACGTCATTGATTTTGGCCAAGAAGTTTCACTATGTTTCATGGCCAAAGGCAGTTCACATTACTGCAGGTATTTTCCTGGTGTTTGGCAACGTCTATAAAGAAGGTTAGGTGACCATGACTGAAATTTTGTTTTACAGACTATGACCTAATAAATGGGTATTGTTGTAAGCTGCTTAAAAAAAAAAAGACCAGGTAAAAATGGAACTTTACATCAAAGGTCACCTAGTAAGATACTGCAAATGCACATGGATGGTGGTTTACAGCTCCTCGATCTACAGGAAAGGCAGCATGTGGCTGTCTTACCTTGAAGTCCTCCTTCAGCTGGGAAAACAACTGGAGGGTAGATCTATCAAAGCTACCATTTGCTATCTACAAGCCTGATGGCTTAAAAGCCATCTTTACCTTGAGAGTCAATTCTGAATCTGTGATAGTCAATCCTTCATTTGTGTATTTCCCTTTCAATGAATCCAACTGTTAAATAAGACAAATGTTTCAGACAGGATATTTTTAGATCCAGATGCAAATGTGTTTGAAATGCTTACATCTTAAGAATGTGCACGTGTGCTATGAACATACACAAAATACAGAACAAAGGTCAGAGTTTGCTTTCACATTTGCCATGAAGTCTCTCCTTTTCTCATGACCGTGTTTATCCTAATGGAAAGTCGTGCCAAGTCGCATATAATAAAAAGGTTTGAACATAGACTGGAATTTTCTGGTAGCTCTGATTTGTGATCAGATATATATATATATATATATATATATAATATATATAGGATTAAAAAGAATTCTATAGAGAAATAAAAGATGAAGCAGTTCATTAAAGGGGAAATGCTATTTCTGTAACTATATTTCATTTTATACTGATAGGAACAGAATAAAAATCCCACACTTAAATAAGCAAAAAGTTTCTGTCTTTGATGTTAGCTTGAGGACTTCTAACTCCACTTTTCTCTTGCCCATTTTTAATAAGTACATGCAACCATTAAACTCTTCCCTTTATAGCCACAGAATAAAATACCTTTATGTCGGGAAATTGGCCCAGATAGGTGTCCAGTGTCAGCAAGGACCCATCCACTAATTTCTGATGGAAGTCTTCCCATAGCACATCACATTTCTGAAAGAAAAAAGGAAATAAAGAGATGAATGCAGAATTATTTTAATTGGATACCTTTCACCAACTTCTAAAAAGCCTGAAACTATAAAATCAGATAAGTACTATTTCCTTGGATAGTAAATGGTAGAAGGAATGTGGATTATGTAAAAATACCTTAATTTGGCTACCATTTCTAAATTTACAATACTGAATGTATAGGCTACCTAAGGACTCAGCTCATTTAAAACTGTGTTTCTGCTTTTGAATTAACAAGGAATGTATTCAACAGAAGCTTCAAAAAGCCCCTGGTGCTGGTAGTTTAGTTGCTAAGTTGTGTCCAACACTTGGCAACCCCATGGACTGCAGTCTGCCAGGCTTTTCTGTCCGAGGGATTTTCCAGGCAAGAATACTGGAGTGGGTTGCCATTTCCTTCTCCATCAGAAGGCCCCTAGATCCTTATAAATGGATTTTGGGGCTAAGAGTCTGAAGAAATCCAGTGAAAGAGCTTGCTTCTGAAGCAGTCCATGAAATTAGAAGCCACTCCATACAAACAACAAACCATTGCTGAAGCTTCCACATGGACAGCAGAAAGGGCCCCTACCAGGCATGGCGCATCAGTTATGATAAACACAGCAACTATCAGATATTAGTATTGTTATAACTACTACTGTCACTGTGTGAAGTCAGAGTTGCTCACATACATCTGACTCTTTGTGACCCCACGGACTATAGCCCGCCAGGTTCCTCTGTCCATGGAACGTTCCAGCCAAGAATCCTGGAGTGGGTTGCCATGCCCTTCTCCAGGAGATCTTCGCAACCCATGGATCTAACCTGGTCTCCTACATTTCAGGCAGATTCTTTATCATCTGAACCACCAAAGAAGCCCCAAAGTGAACGTATTAATGGCTCAGTCATGTCCAAGTCTTTGCAACCCATGGACATCAAGGCAGTTGGTTAAACACTTTACTTGTCTCTGTGTGTGATTTAATTCTCACAATATTCTTATGAGTAACGTCTTCTTGTTGCCTTTATGTAGAAGAGAATGCTGAAGCTCAGAGATGATATATAACCTAGCCTAGGTCATGTAGCTGGTAAATGACAGAGTTTGGGTTCAACCCTTGAATGTGAAGCCCACAATCTGTCTCTGACACCAGGCTGCCTCACCAGAACAGGGTTCATATCCCAGCTGTGTGACTTTAGAATGAGTTTCAGTTTACCCAATCAAGGGAACTGACAACATAAAGTGCTTCACAGAATCCCAAGCACATAGCAAGTGTGCAAGAACATCACTCTTTATTCTTCCCGTCACTACATTTGGGGTCTCCTGACACCATCTACCCTTTCTTTCTCCTTAGTAACAGAACCTCCAGTTTCTGCCAGGCTCATGGCCTCCCAGGACACAGACCACATTTATCGGTCTCCACTGCAAGCTAGAGTAGCCATGAGACTAAATTCTGCCAAAAGGATGGACTTAAAGGCAATGTCCTTAAAGGGAGGTTTGTCCTCCACGCTTCCTCCTTCCTGTCACTGGAAGACAGAAATGAGTGCTGATAGCCAGAGCTCAGACAGTCACTTGAAAGTAGAGATGGCATCAGAGATGCAAAGACAGGCCCCTGATGGTCGTGGGTCCCCCCACCGCACACGGGCTGCCAACCTTCAATGTCTGCCATGGGAGAGAAGTTTCTGTCTTGTTGAAAACCACTTTGTAATGGTTGATTTGCTTCTTTTTCTTTTTCACCCTTTAAAACCCAGTTCTAATTGTTATAGATCCTTATTGGAGAATTTTATGCAACCAAAAAATTTAAATCCATTATACAAAAAGGCTTATATTCTATCTGAGCAGACCCTCTGAACACGCAGTGTCAGCTGCTTCACCTTCAAAAGAGCTCATATTTGGGTCAGCAACTGAAGATTCCCAAAATTCTGGCAGCCACAAGGACCAAGGTAAGATATCAGCTGTTTCCTTAGGAATAAAGGTCAAGACAGGGGCATTTGCCACACACAGAATTGTAACACAGTGTTCTGAAAAGCCATTTATGCAAGCTTCTATCATTCCCTTAAAAAGTCTCCTTTTCATAATGAATTTTAAATGTTACACCTCTAATCAGAAATTTACAAAATGAGTTAAACCTTTAAAACATGCTGTTGAAGCAATGTCTTTATATTTAAGAAATGTGAGATGTAATTACTCAAAACAGCATTGAAGAATAGTGTGTGGAGACTGATATTGCCCAATTCACATCCTGAAAGGTTTCAAAAGAAGTTAACAGAGTTAACAAGAGCCTTATTCATTAAAAAAATAATCTCAGTTTCTATCACAGTCATAACAAGATTATGATTTGTGATCAACATGGGGGTGTCAGAATTTTCAGGGAGCAGCCCAGGCGAGTTGTTAACCCATCTTTCCAAAGGCTGCAGAGATGATCAGCATGTCACCTACCAGACCTTCCTGTGGGTTGTGGAGGCCACATCTCTTAGGTCTTCCATGCCTCATGAGAAGCAACAAGCTCCCGTGAAGCATGACAAACAACCACTCTTTGTTTTAACAAAGAACTTGGTCATAAGAAAACTCCTGACAGCAGGATTCCTAATGTCTGTGACAATCACATGCACTGTGCATTAGGTTGAGGGTGTGAATACACAGGCTTTCAGTGTATTATTAGGAGGTAAAATTAATACTCTCACTTTGCAGATGAGGAAACTGAAACCAAAGATTAGAGAACTCACCCAATGTCACATCCTATTCTGCCTTCCTCAAAGCAACAGTAACTCCTTTCTTGCTTCCCAGAGCCAGACAGCCCTGGGCTAGACAGTGTGTTTTAAGTGTTAAGACATGTCTTGGGATAAAGTATTACATTAGTTAAATTTCTACTCGCAAGCTCTGTCCTCAGCCCTGCAGACTGGCGAATGGACCAGCCGGCAGTAAACTGAAAGAGATGCTGTTCTCAGCTCCTGCACCTGCTTTCAAGGAGGGATGGGGAAGGAGAGGCAGAACATAAAATCAAGTCATGAGCCAATTCTCCTGCTGAAATAGGCTAAGAAGTGTAGTAAGGGGCAGAAAAGTGCTACTCTCATGTTGAAGAAAAACAATCTTTAACACACAGCTTTCTACCCAAGTGGTTTTATCATCATGTTCACTCCTCACTATGAGTGAGGATCAATCTGGATGGCAGAACTGAACAGCGCCTTCTGGGTACACGGTGTCCCCTCCTGATGAGGGCATGAAGTGCTGAGAGGGGATAAGTTGAGTGAGTAGGACACGGTGGGACCCGCAGGGAAGCCATCCTGGGCCTCCCGAGCGCTGTGACCAGCTCTCACCTCGCCAACCATTTTCACATCTTCACGCCCATACCAGTCAGGCTCATAGACTTCATGCAGCGACTCGGTGAGCTTCATGGAAGCCTCTTGCATGCCTAGCATTGGAGAAAAGCAATTCCCGTTAGAGAGAGGTGGGTGAAAAGTCTCTTCCTCCTTCCCCTACTTCTCTAAGTGAGAGGGAAAATCTTGAACACTTGCTAAATGTTTAAGGAAAAACTGGGCAGGTACAACTGTTATTTGCATCTGTAGTCACATCTTCCCTGATTCTGATTACAGCACGCACCTTCTTGTATTTACAATAACAGTGACAGATACAGGATCTTAAAAAAAAAAAAAATAAACAAGGCACTGTATTCTGAAAACAATATGTCCTACTAGGTGTGCTGTCACTTGTTAAATGACATGAAACCATAAATGTACAGGACACCTAGAGCTCTTCTCTATAAAATGACAAGAGTCCTAGGAATTAATCCTAAATGAATTTGAATGTTAGAAATAAAGCTTTTTTTTTTTTTTGAAGCACACAGAAGCACAATCAATAGGATTTTAGGGTATAATATTTGAAATGTTTTAAGTGGCCTAAATTTTAAAAAAAATTTTTTTAATTTTTTTAAATTAAAAAAATTTCTTTTTCCAATATTATCAAGTTATATATATACAGTTTTAAGTTAGAAGCCTCAGAGAACTTCAAGTTCTTCTGTCTATGGGTCAGAATTTTAATTATTGGTATAATTTGGTATGTTGCAAAAATATGGTTATTAACAATAGTAAAGATACAAAGTTTCCCAGTGCAACATGGTGATATAAAGTATCACTAAGTCTGTTTCAATCTCCCCTTTGCCCCTCCTTCAAAACATGGAGGGAAAACTATGGACTACAGTGGTGACCACTGAGGGCTGGGAACAGACAAGGCGGAGTCTTTGGCTGGAGACCTGGAGAAGTGCCACTTTGGCACCAGACTCTCCCTCATAGCTAGAAGGTGAGCTCTGGCTAAGTTGGTGCCTTGGTCTTTGTCACTAGGAGATATGAAATGGGGCTGGATAGAAGGAGAGGAGAGAAAAACCAGAGTGCCATCATTAGAAAAAAAAGACACATCTCATAAACTCAATGCCAAAGAATCAAAGAGGGAAAGTTTTTTGTGAAACTGAAAGCTGCAACACTCTAAATTCAACCATGTGTTTGGTGGATTTAAAGCAGTCAGTTTTGGGGTCAACAGTGAAGGAAAAAAGTCAAAATAGAAGATGTCTGAGGAGTTTGAGGTTTTTGAACACAAGCTACCCATTCTCCTTGCTTGGTGCTTGCAATAAATTTTTCTCTCCTCTAGAAAATGAAATTATAAATAAAAATAAGATGTATGAAATGATCAAAGTAATCCTCAAACAATATGTACAAGAGTCACACAATGGAAAATTATTCAGTAACACAAAATAATGAAATCATGCAATTTGCAGCAACATGGAATGGCCTAGAGATGATCAGACTAAGTGAAGTAAGTCAGAGAAAGACAAATATATGATATCACTTACATGTGGAATCTAAAAAAAAAAGACACAAGTGAATTTATTTATAAAACAGAAACAGACTCACAGACTTAGAATACAAACTTATGGTTATCAAAGGAGAAAGGCGGGGGGGGGGACAAATTAGGAGTTTGTGACTAACATATACACACGACTTCACATATATCGATGACCAACAAGATCCTACTATATAGCACAGTCAAATATATTCAATATCTTGTAATAATCTATAATGGAAAAGAATATTAAGAAGTGTGTATATATATACACACACATATATGTGTATATACATATAACTGAATCACTTTACTGTACAGCTGAACCTAACAACATTGTAATCAAATATATTTCAATAAATTATTTAAGAAGTAAAATAAAATATTAATCCCACCCGCTAAAAAAGAGTCAACATCTAATCTGGTATTTCACAATACATTTCCTCTCTCTAGAGGGGCTTCCCTGATAGCTCATTTTGTAAAGAATCTGCCTGCAATGCAGGAGACCCCAGTCCGACCCCTGGGTTGGGAAGATCCCCTGGAGAAGGGGATCCAGTATTCTGGCCTGGAGAATTCCGTGGACTGTATAGTCCATAGCGGTCACAAAGAGTCAGACACAACTGAGCGACTTTCGTTTCACTTCACTTTAGGGGACAGACAATCCCCCGTGTTTTCGCCTGCTAAGATGCAGATGCCTATTTGGCCTTTGCACACAAAAGGTATGAACGTGTTTTGTAGCCACGTGAAGTGTGAAAGCCTGTGACCCTCTCTCCATAAAGGGCATATCACTGAACATGTTTAAGGACGCCCTTCACCATGAGGAGTACAAACAACCCACACCAGCTGAAATGACTTGACAACCACAAGAGGAAGCCCAGCAGGGTACTGTGGGAAAGAAGTGATGACTCAGTTCTCTGGGGACACTGATGAACTAGTCTTATAGGTGTAGAGACAGGCAAGTGTTGCATTGTGTGTGTGCTTAGTCATGTCCAGCACTTTGTGACCCTTGGGACTGTAGCCTGCCAGGCTCCTCTGTCCACTGGATTTCCCAGGCAAGAATACTGAAGTTAGTTCCCAATTACTGCTCTTGGGGATCTTCCCAACCCAGGTATCAAACCCACGTCTCCTGAGTCTCCTACATTGCAGGCGGATCCTTTTCCCACTGAGCCACAAAAAGTAACCCAAAAACCTTCATCCATCCTCTAGCACTCTGAGTCCAAGCAAGGAAGAATCTTTTTCTTGTGATGTGGTCTCCACATGTGGTCACTGCTGACCATATGTGGCAGGAATATTTATTTTGAATGTCCATGTTTAACCCGAACCCTAAGCAAACAAATACTAAGAAATGCATCCCTCAAAATCACACCAAAAGTGAGTCACTAGTTAGAACTCTATCATTCAGATGGCAAAAGGCTTGTGAAGTTTCCTTTTAATTCTTCGAGTCAGATGGAAATTATCAACAGCCACATAGACAAGCTCTTAATGCCTTAAGAGGAAAAAAGATGCATGATGGTATTGCAGAACAAAAACCGTTATGGTGCAAAATGAAACTGTGACTTAAGTTTAAAATAAAATTCTATAAGATCTTACTCTTTGAGGCAAAAACACACAATGTTGCAGTAAATATGTCTATTATCAGCCCAAAATAACTACTAATTGCTGTGTGGATAAGTAGCGGTGTGGGTAATTTGGAAAGAAATTATTTTGACAAAAAGCTGTTTCTACAACCCTCCATAGGAAATACTCTGACAGATAGACAGGTGAACAAAACACAAGTCTTGCTCTTAAAAGACAAAAAGATTGGCATAGATTTAGAATTTCCTCTGGTGGCAGAGCAAAAGAGGAAAAAACATAGCTAAAACCCAAGTTTCCTTCAAAGTAATTTGGCAATATTAAAGCATAATAGATGCTAAGTGGCATTTAATAATATCTAATAGCCAATATTTTCTTGGGCTTTCCAGGTGGCTCACATGGTGAAGAATCCACCTGCAAGGCAAGAGACCTGGGTTCAATTCCTGGTCCAGATGATCCCCTGGAGAAGGGAGTATTTTCTTAAAAGATTAGTGGTTTTCAAAACTATAAGACAAGTATCAAGATTCATACATAGAAGAATGATCATCTTACTACTGGATGGGAACCATTTCCCTCTCACCAAAAATTTGGAGCATCCTAGACCTGTTTTCCAAAGTATTCATCAATAATAAATTATAGTACACACCACATGTTATGGGAATAATACATGAAATGAGCCATAAAAAGCTTATGTTTGTACCTGGCACACATGTGTTCAATAAATGTGAACTATAATTATTAGTAAACTATTAGCCTAGACTTCTAAAAAGTCTACAGTTTCATTTCCTCTAGTTTGTATTTCATACCATTACACTAATTATTTCTAAAATGCTAATCTGATCATGTGACTCATTCCCTCACCTAAAAGAATGTTAAGGACGCCCTTCTCCATTGACAGAATAAAACCCAAGATTTTTTCTACCTGGATAGTCTTTCCAACATCGACCTCTTCCCCTGGCATATCTGATCACCTGGGGACCATGGATGCCCCCCTCTTGGGTTCATTCAGGATAAGTTCTGCAGAAGGACCGTTCCTGACCTGGTCTCCCAGCCCTCAGCTAAGGTGGGAGGACTCTCCTTTGCTGGATAGCACAGAGCACGCCTCTCTTAAACGACACATTACCCTGCGTATCTGGCCTTTTGTTTATTAGCTTTCTCTATCACAAGCCCCAGAAGAGCAAACACTGTGTCTCACTCATCTCTGCATCTCTGTCCTCTAGAACAGTGTCAGGCCTATAACTGAGACTCCATGCAATGTTCGCTACTAAAATCAATGAGAGCATAAGATCTCCTACAAAGTCCAAGCCATCAGCAGAAACAACAAAGCCCCACAGGAGTGAATGCCACCCAGAGATTAGGGATAATAAAGAGTAGAGCTCATTGAATCCAATTTCATAGAATGCCTGTAGCAGAGATGTGGGGGGACTTCCGAGAGCAACTGGAGCGCTTTATAGCTGAGGAACATCTGGCACATTTTACAAATGAGGCAGTCGACGGGCTTGGATTATCCCATAGCTGCCTCTCAAAATGGACCCAGGACTCATCACTCTACTGGGTGAGATCTGATTCTCTGTAATGCTGCCTGTATTAAACTGCTCCATTAGTTAGCTAGAGTTCTTCTTGTGAAAACCAGAAAAATGGGCCATGAAAGCACTTTGAAAAAGCAAATTATAATCTACTTAATGCATAACCCTTATCTTTAAGTGTGTTCCCAAAACTGAAAATATGCTCCAAGGAATGCTGATTCTTTCTAAGACTTTGAGAAGCAAAAAAGCATTCTACAATTAAATCAGTGGAAAATGCTGCCCACGCCACAGGCCTATGGGAGATTAGATTAAGGGTTAAGGGTTCTGATAAACTCTGTAGTAAACTGTTTAAAAACTCATTCCAACCAGCCTCTTCCAGAGTCATTTAAACAGAGATCTCTCTCAGAGAATATCATTAGTCATTCAATCAGCAAAATGTGTGGGGAAGAGCTACTGGACAGTCCTTCCTCCTACATATGTGGATGTCACCATTAGAAGTGGGATGCAGGGCACAGACTGATGGAAGAGTCTCTTCGATGCTGCACCCAATGTCTCCCTGGAGACAAGTCTTCTCACAGTGGATTCTCCCTCCAGACCACATTAAGGAAAAAAAAAATAAGCCAGTCTTTTTAAATAGCATTCTCCATACTAGGGCAATAAAATAGACCAAAATACATTGTCTTGGAAGAGAGATCCAATTCACTCATTCATGTAACAAAAGTATCCACTTTTAAAAATGAGCTAACAAAGAGAAAATCCTATACTCAAAACTGTATGACTTCTTATGTTAAAATCTTGAATCAGCAATGAAAGAATTACCTAGAGTGCCTTCTATTTTCTGACCAAACTGTTATAAATATTTGAGGTTAACTTTTTTAGAGCAGTTAATTATGACCTCTGTGAATTGCGGAGGTTAAATCCTCTGAGTCTTACTTCTTTACAAATGCAAGGTAAGGCTAATGTTACTTAGCCTGTGATGGGTGGTGACGAAGAAGTAACATGCCTAAAATACTTAGTGCATAGCCTATCACATAGTAAAGTGAAGTAGCTCAGTCGTGCCCGACTCTTTGCGACCCCATAGACTGTAGTCTGCCACGCTCCTCCGTCCATGAGATTTTCGAAGCAAAAGTACTGGAGTGGGTTGTCATTTCCTTCTCCAGAGGATCTTCCTGACCCAGAGATTGAACCTGGGTCTCTCGTTAAAAAGCAACAGAGGTAAGTTGCCATTACTCCATTGTACAAATGAACTCGAATTATGAAACAATGCAATACTGATGGCTATATAGTTCAAAGACAGTACAAGAGAAAAGCAAGGTCTCAGGAAACTCAGAGACCAGACGGTGCATTTCACCCCTGCTATTTAGTAAGCCCATGACCCTAGACAAGCTATTTGACCCTTCTATGCCTGGCTTTTTAACAACAAAATGAAGATAAAATAAGTACCTGCCTCATAGAGTTGTCAGGTGAATTGAAATTATATGACTGGTTTATAAAATAATAAAAGCTTAAATACATCTTAGTTTAAAAATTACTTTCACTAATTTTGATTTTTATAACTAATTTTTATTAAGAGTTTCATTATGTAGCCATAACTTTGTAATCAATTTCATACATCCATACATTGAAACTGTTAAGAATAAATTCTTGGAAATGAAACTAGTGTATCAAAAGGCATGCCCCCCACACACACAAAATCAAAAATCACATATAAAAGCCTTTGCCAAATCCCTCTTCAGGAAAGCAGTCTTATCAGAAGTGTACAAAAGGAGTCCATTTCCCACAGCTCTGCCAATGCTAGGCATTACAGCTTTGTTTTGAGTCTTTTTTTTTTAAACTTTTTATGTCTTTGAACACTTAGAAGAAAAATAATATCTTCTCCCTTTGATATCATTTTATATTCTTTGAATACTCAGGACAAGCACTTTTTACATTTATTACCCATCTACAGATCTTCTTATATTAATTTTCTCTCCATATGTTCTACTCAGTTTTTCTTTTGATCCACTAATCTTCATTTAGCTTACTGACTGAGCTCTTTATATCCTGGCTCACTTTGATTAAAATATGCTGCCAAAATAATTTTTAAACATTGTGTACATTAATGAGGTCAAATCTCTCAAACTTGCCCTTTCCAATTTCTGCCTTCTGGGGGAGCCTTGTAAAGACCTTGTCACCGGAGACTGAAGATAAAGTCTACTGTATTTTATTCTGGGACTTGAGCGCATCTCTTTGTCTACATATTTAAATCTTCACTATATTTGGAAATGAGAAGGAGAGAATAAAGAGTGAGGTTGGGAATCTCACTTTTTTTCTGAGTGTTTGGCCAGTTTACCCAAGACTCATTGTCAGATGATCCATTCTCTCCCCACTAATCTCAAAATCTGCCTTATCACGCACCGTGGGTGCACTTGAATCTGACCCAGTGCCAGCAACTGGATATCTCTGGAGGCAGAAATAGAGTACCCAACCTGATTCCTCTCTTCACTCTCCACCACTAGCCTTATTTCCTTGCCTTGAATATCAAGAGACTAGAAACAACAGCAGAGCCTCTTTCCCCCTACAGTGGCAGGGTTGCAGGTGCAGCCGGTCCCCACAAGTCATAGGCAATTCAGGGCCATGTTTCATGTTAATGCTGCTGTCATCCCTTGCCCGCTCCTGCTAGAGGGCTTATGTGCAAGTCTAAGAGCGTCCAACTCTTGGGACATACTCTCCCTTGGGATGAAACCAGCTGCAGCTTTTCTTAAACAAGGTCTGCAGCTCACTCTGTCTAACAACTCTTCCTAGAAAGCTCTGGCACATGGGAGGCACTTATTCCTAGTTTCCAGCATAAGGAAACTTATTTTCCTTATATACCTGATTATCATTTCAATGGGAACTGGGGAGTAGGTAGAATGGAACACCTGTGCTCCAGTACCCATCCTGCCAGAAAGCCAAATGGCTTTCTAATTAACACTCGATCCTGTCACTCTTGAATTCCAAGAACAACCTGTGCTTGGTAACATGCAGTAAACAACACATACACATTACCTTTGATAGCTGCTAAGTATCCTCGGAGTTCTCGCTGAAGTCTGGTACCCTCGGCCTGAAAACACACAAACACAGAGATCTTCAACATCTTGTTTACATTTTGCATGCAAACATGAGAGTATTTTTACCAGAAGCTCATTCTTGAAAGAAAATAAATATGTGAATTCAGACTGAACAAGATATCCATTACTCTAGATACTTACAGAGATTTTATTCAGCTTAAGAGGGAATAAGACTTTGCTAAGAATAGAAACTGTGACCCACCATACAGCCTTCTATACATTCAAGAGCTAGTGAGTCTCTCAATTTTGACACATAGGTTACAAGGTAGGAAATTTACCACCACTGTTCACTGTTTAATATGGTAGCTACTAGCCCAAGGTTGTCACGTGTTTACAATGTAGCTAGCCAGAATGCAGATGTACTGTAAGTATAAAATACTTACCAGGTTACAGAGATTTAGTACCAAAAACATACACACACACACATATATATATATATACATATATCATTAATATATTCTAGATAGACTGTAGATTAATATAATATTTTGGAGATAATGCATTAAACTATATTATTAAGATTCATTGTAACTCTTTTCAGTTTTTCTTAAACTGAAGTATCATGCATGCTCAGCTGCTCAGTCATGTCCAACTCTCTGCAACCCATGGACTGTATAGCCCGCCAGCCTTCTCTGTCTGAGGAATTTTCCAGGCAAGAATACAGAAGTGGGTTGCCACGTCCTTCTCCAGGGGATCTTCTCGACCCAGGGATCAAACATGAGTTGGTTTATAATACTGTGTTAGTTTCAAGTGTACAGCATCTTTCTACTTTTTAAAAGTAAAATTTTTACTAGAAAATTTTAAATTATGAATGTGGTATGCATTATATTCCTACTGGACATCACCAAAATAGAGAAATTGTTAAATTGTAAATTTTGGCCTATGAATACTTGTTTTGGTTTGGAATGTATTTAGAAACTCAAAGACTCTAAGACTAGGATTAGATTCTGGTCTGGAGTTACTCAGGAAATGTTAATGGTAGCGTGGAGAAATGAGGCAGGGAGGGAAAGAGAGGTAACTCAAGGTGCACTAAGAAGCAAGTTTCCACAGTGGGCAGTCCTGCCTTAATTCAACTAGGGAACTCTAGGAGACAGACTCCAACACCCTACAGACAACCTCACCAAGGGGCAAGTGAGTTGGGGCATTTAATATCATCTCCTGTTGGACATTGGCTAATGGCTGCTTCTTAAAATGAAAGTGAAAGTCGCTCAGTCATGTCCGTCTCTTGTGACCCCATGGAATAGTCCATGGAATTCTCCAGGCCAAAATACTGGAGTGGGTAGCCTATCCCTTCTCCAGAGGATCTTGCCAGCCCAGAAGTCAAACCGGGGTCTCCTGCATTGCAGGCAGGTTCTTTACCAGCTGAGCTAGCAAGGACCCCGAAGCCTGATTCTGGGGAACATGAATTCCCCATTAATCCACACAGGGGCAGATAGGTCTCCAGGAACCATAGTAAGACCTCAATCAAAGAGTTCTGCTGTTGGCAACTGCAAGTCATCCAGTGGGCTCAGAAAAGGTAGGTACTAAAGGCATATAGCTGGCCACCAACAGTATTGTCTATGACACTGCAAGGAAACACATCAAAAAAATGTATTTTAACTGCACAGTCATTGAACAGAAGTACACAGAACTAGCAGATAGAATGACTCCACCTTGAAAATTAATATGATCACAGCTATTGTATAACTCTAACTCGATAGTTAATAATACACCCACTAATATAGTAACTATAATGGTCATATTCATTTCAACAAGCATTTGTTAGAATTTACCAAAAAGGAATCCCTTAGAAGAAATGAAGTAGCCCTCATAGTGAACAAAACAGTCTGAAATGCAGTACTTGGGTGCAATCTCAAAAATGACAGAATGATCTCTGTTCATTTCCAAGGCAAACCATTCAGTATCACAGTAATCCAAGTCTATGCCTCAACCACTAATGCCAAAGAAGCTGAAACTGAATGATTCTATGAAGACCTAGAAGACCCTCTAGGAGAAGGCAATGGCAACCCACTCCAGTAATCTCGCCTGGAAAATCCCAGGGACAGAGAAGCCTGGTAGGCTGCAGTCCATGGGGTCGCTAAGAGTCGGACACGATTGAGCGACTTCACTTTCACCTTTCCTTTCATGCACTGGAGAAGGAAATGGCAACCCACCCCAGTGTTCTTGCCTAAAGAATCCCAGGGACGGGGGAGCCTGGTGGGCTGCCGTCTATGGGGTCGCACAGAGTTGGACACGACAGAAGTGACTCAGCAGCAGCAGCAGCAGCAGCACAAGACCTTCTAGAACTAACACCCAAAGAAGATGTCCTTTTCATCATAGAGGACTG